GCAGGATCGCACACTGATCGTTTCCTTGATTGTCGATATGGGCTTTTCACCCGGCCCACGAGGGCGCGGTTTTCCTGTATAGTAAGTTGTTGAAGGTCCGGCACGCCCAAGGGCACAGCGGTGTAGGAATAATAATAATAAAACGACCCTTGGTCCAAGTCGTACTGGGCTCCACCGTTCTCTTGGGAGCTTTGCCCTCGTAGAGGTGGAAGGTACACTATCAACTTGTCAACTATTTTTTCCGAATTCAGATCAAAGTGGGAATGAGCGTACGGGCAAAGTAGAAGAGCATGTCTTTCGTGATAGCAATAACTGGTCCGCTCTGCAGGCGGGCAGACAGATTCTTGATGACCTGCTGGGTCAAGTCTCCCTTATTAAGAAACATCATATGACTGTGGATGTCGACAATGTTTCTCACGCCAACTTGTTGGTTTATCTGCAGAAAGGTGAGCTAAAGGTGTCGCCTGTAATTGGGATCTCACTCACCGTTGACCTACTGCCATCGGCACCGACAAGGATGTCGCAAGTATCGGTAGAGCCGTCGGTAAAAAGCAGTTGAACACGTTCGTTTCCCCCGTCAAAGATCATGCGGTACCTGTCCAGCTTTTTCTGGAACGTGACACGTCCAGCCGCCTTCACAGATTCCACCAGGGTATTCCTCAACACAACGCGGTTGATGGCGGCAGACTTGGAATAGCTACCAAATTTGGTCAAGTCCAACAGTGTTTCGAATCTCGAGTTGCAGATTGCTGGTGCCGTGTCGCCTGCACTCGCAGACTTGCCAAGCTTGGTGAGAAGTGCGGTTCTGATGTCGTCGGTCAAGCACGCCTTGAATCCAGCTTGAGCCGCCTCGCCGAGGCGAATCTGACAGCCCTCTCTTTTGGAGTCAGCGGCATCGCGCTCGTAGACATCAACCTCGACAACGTTATTGATTAGGCCATTGGCCAACAAGGCCCCTGCAAAACCGCCGCCGACGATGATGACCTTTGAAAGGTGCCATGATTGGCAGCTTTGATGTTGTGATCAGAAATGAGGACAGAATGGTTCCCGACGTTGATACAAAGGTCTGGGTTTATAAGAAGTGTAGGTCTGACCCGAAGACTCCGTTGCGGGCATCGTGGTGATCTTGGTGACTCGAAGTTCTGTTCCCGCTTCGCGCCGGAGCAGTTCATCGGTGTTCCGCAGCTCCCCACAAAAGGAGGAGCCGAGCTCCGACGCGGTATGTCCGGATCGGCATCATGCAGCCTCCCGCAACGGGGGCTTCCGGCCCGATCGGCTCCTCGCTTTAGCGTGAACCGTGTCTATTTTACGAGTGATGTGATTGGTCCTTCGATCTGCCGAGCCTTCCTGCCACGGGCACTGCACTCACATACAGCAGACTGGGGTCAGTCAAGTAGGGACATAGCTGCCATTAACTTAGGATAGCAATCGTATTCAGGGACCTGAGAAACCGAACCTCGAACCGCGGATCCTCCAGCGCAGTCTTGAAACCTCTGGCATTTTTTCAACCCATATCCGCCCGTTCCATCAGCCATGTCCCTTATCAAAGACTTGCCAACCGCTGTCTGGCATCAGTAAGTGGTTGATTCTCACACTTTGGCCCACGTACCCCTGACTATCGATTGTGCCTTGCTCTTGCTCGTCACATATTCCTATTCCCTTGTTCTGTACCACATATAGCTACACCCTCTTAGCAAGTTTCGTGGACCAAGAGAAGCGGCCAGGTCTGGTTCGTGGCTGTATCGTCAAATCAAGTCTGAGTTTCCAGAAGCTATATTCGAGAAGCTCCATCAACGGCATCGTGAGTAAAGCCCTTGCTGATCATCCCTTTGCTAGTGGGCTATCCTCTGGTGACCGTGCCAATTTCCGCCTTCGTTCACGGCGGGTTTGTTATAATACTCTTGGGCGCAGCCATTGAGCATAACTGACAACCGATCACAGAGGCAAAGGCCATTCGAATTGGGCCGAATGAGCTTCACATCAACGACACGACACTATACAAGGCCATTTACAAACAGTCGAATCCCTTCCCCAAGCATGAGCAATTTTATCTAGGGTTCAACGCTATGTCCCCTACGTCCTTCACTGAGGTCGACCATGACAAACACAGAGAACGCCGGCGCATGCTGAACCCCATGTTCTCGCGTGCCGGTGTGCTCAAACTCGAAGATCTTGTTTGTGACCTGCTGAAGCGGCAGGAAAACAAGATTGATAGGCTTCGAGAGAAGCAGGACATCAACATCTACGATGCTTTCCGGTCAGCAAGAGTTCTCTTTTCACTTGGCATTTTGAATCAGAATTGCTGCTGTTGGGGTGCCTGCAGACTGACGCATTTGAGCAGAATCTTGACAACCAGCATAATCATGGAGTTCTGCTCTGCAGACGGTGGTGGCATGATTGACGAGGACCCAAATGGGTTCAATTCAAAATTTATTCAGGCCTTCATCGTTGTTGCCGAAGAGGTTAACACCTTGCAGCACTGTCCGTGGCTCCGTATCCTTGTAAACAATCTTCCGGAGGGACTGGTGAAAGCCCTGGAAACATGGACAATTGGACTGTTGAACTCACCTGTCGGGCCCGCCGGGGGAGGTATTGGCACGGCTTATGCTTTTGCAAACACCGAGAGCAAGGATCTGCGCCATCACATCGCTGCTTGGATATGCGACATGAGGCGCATGCTTTTACTCCTCGTGTTTGACCAGTTATCTTCGGCTGTTGATGGTGTGACGGGAGATTGTCGTGTATTGACGCATGGCGCTCGAGGGTATCTCTGCGCATCCCGGCACCCCAAGTCAATAATGCCTGAATCGGCGAACCTTCGGCAGCAATAATTAGACACACTGAGTGCCGCGACATACCTCCTAGAGAAGTGTCTATTGCATGTGGAACAGGCGAACGGCTTGTAGCCTTTGTGAAGACTAATATGCCTTTTCAGGTGATCGTTCCGCTGGAAGAGCATTCCGCACACGGAACAGCGGCAAGGAGTGCGGTCGGTAACTCGGTGGACTCGGTAGAAGCCATATTTCTCTGTTGCTGGTGAGGGACCCAGGAAGAAGACGGGCGGAAAAAAAGAAAAGAAGAAACAAAAATAAGAAGAAAAGGCGAGATAAACGGGTAAAAATGGATGAAATGATGTCTATCGCTGTGAGCAACGCGAGGGAGCTTGGGATGATGATACTTTTAGTCCAGTTGATCTAGTGTAATCTGTACGGAGGCACGGATCCGTATACGGAGGCACGGATCCGTATACGGATCCGTAGTCTATCCGAATCGTTCTGTTGCGTCTCCGCAGGGGAGTGGGCAGTTTTTAACGAAGCGGGTCAATCCGCCCAGGGCTAGCCTACACGTAGAAGCCAGACCGAAGGCGCCGACCGGACCCACTGAAACTCTGGGCCCCGCGCCGATGACCTGCAAACCAGATCAGGCACTCGGAGCATCTTCAATCCACCGCACCCGCTGTCTTCCGCCATGCGAAGAACAACATCCTGGAGGACATTCCGCACCTTCTGTAGCTCCGTCGCCAGACCAGCATTCTGCCATCGTCCCCTCTCTCGACAGCCACTCCCGCTGTCGACCACACCCCTCTTCCGCACCATGGCCTCATCCACAACCCCCCGACCCGTCCTCAAGCAGCCCGTCAAGCTCGCCTGCGTACAACTCGCCTCAGGGTCCGACAAGACCGCCAACCTGGAACACGCAGCCGACAAAGTACGCGAAGCGGCTACCACAGGCGCCAAGATCGTTGTCCTACCGGAGTGCTTCAACTCGCCCTACGGCTGCGAGCACTTCCCCTCCTACGCCGAGACCCTCCTCCCCTCCCCGCCGACCCCGTCCCAATCGCCCTCCTTCCACGCGCTCTCGGCCATGGCGCGCGACAATAAAGTCTACCTGATCGGCGGCTCGATCCCGGAACAGGTTAATACCACCACTGCCGCAGCCGACGGCGACGACAAAAAGACCTCCTATTACAACACCTCCCTCATCTTCTCCCCCACGGGCGCCCTTCTCGCCACACACCGCAAGGTCCACCTCTTCGACATCTCCATCCCCGGCAAGATCACCTTCCGCGAGTCGGACGTGCTCTCGCCCGGCAACAAGCTCACCCTCGTCGACCTGCCCGAGTACGGCTCGGTGGCCGTCGCCATCTGCTATGACGTGCGCTTCCCCGAGCTGGCCACCATCGCCGCCCGTAAGGGGTGCTTCGCGCTCGTGTATCCCGGAGCGTTCAATTTGACGACGGGACCCCTGCATTGGCGGCTTCTGGGCCAGGCGCGGGCCGTGGACAATCAGTTGTACGTCGCGCTGTGTAGCCCCGCGAGGGACATGAGCGCCGGGTATCACGCGTGGGGCCATAGTCTGGTTGTGGATCCCATGGCGCAGGTCATGGTGGAGGCTGGGGAGAGGGAGGAGGTTGTGGTGGCTGAGCTGGATGGGGACAGGATTGAGGAGGCGAGGAAGGGGATTCCGCTACGGGATCAGAGGAGGTTTGATGTGTATCCTGATGTGAGTCAGGGGAACGTGAATTTTGAGGAGCCATAGGGCTGGTGTAAAGGTAACGTTTTCACTGCGTGTGTCACATACGGCAACGTGGAGTGTGTGCGGGGGATTGGTCTTTTCCGGGCCTTGGGCCTCCCTATCCAGATGCCTGTAGGCCTTCTGTGCCCTGTGGCAGTCTACTCGGTTCCGAGAGGCCCTTTCATCTATCCGGCATTTTAGCAGCTGGTCTGGCATTGTTTTAATGCTCGCTGCACTCCTTTTCCCGTGGGCCTCTCCATAAACGAAGGCGCGAACTCGCGAACCCGAGCGTCCTTTGAAAGTCCATCAATCGCCATGGCCGCACCGCACTCATTGCAGAGCCTCCTGGGCAAAGGTGGGCAGGACGAAGCTGGCCTTGTGGATCTCCGAGTTGTAGTACCTGCACAACTTGCGCTCCTCCTCCTTGCTCCACGAGCGGACTGGCACGCGCACGTTGCGGTTGGCGTCCTTGCAGCAGACCATGAAGCCGATCTGGCCCGATGGGTAGGTCGGGATCGTGGTGTAGGCGTACTCGGCCACGGGGAAGATCTCGCCGCAGTCCTTCTTGAGCTTGGTGATCAGCGGCAGATGGAGCCATTGGTTCTCGGCTGCGAGTCCAGGAGTTAGCTACTCTACCAAAATTCAGGGGCATCAAAACAACTGAGTGGCATGGTGAGAGCGGAGAATGTTGAAGGTAAGAAGTAAGGAAAAATAGTGTGAGATCGTCAGGAGCTTAAAGCAAGGAGGAAGTCGCCGCAAGGGGAAAGCCGAGACCAACTACCGCTTGGTAGCCTCCTGAGAGATGACACAAGGCTGGATCAGGCAAGTTGAGTGCCCGGCCCGGAGAAACAAGATATTCCTCCCAGGTCTCGACTTTCTCGAGTAAATGAGACATACAACCTTGGGTGGTAATAACGCCGCCCTCACGGAGGGCATCGTGCAGGAGCTGGAAGTAGGGCTTTTGGAAGAGCGACTCGGCGGGACCTTCCGGGTCGGACGAGTCGGTGATAATGACGTCGAAGGTGTTCTTGTAGTCGTCGAGGAACTTGAAGCCATCGCCGACGTGGACCTTGACCTTGGGGTGGTTGAAGCCCGCGGCCATGTGGGGGAGGTACTGCTTAGAGAGGCGGATGACGGCCTGAAGTATTGTAAGTGGCCGGCACAGTCAGGCCTGGAGACATCGAACGCATACCTCGTCAATGTCGCAAAGCGTCGCCTCCTCGACGCACTCGTGCTTGACAACCTCGCGGAGGACACCCCCGTCGCCGCCGCCAATGACGAGAACCTTCTTGGGGTTGGGGTGAGAGTTCATGGCCAGGTGGGTGATCATCTCTTGGTAAGAGAACTCGTCCCGCTCAGTGCACTGGATGACATTGTCCAGGACGAGGACATTGCCGTGGTTGGTCGACTCAAAGATCAAAACGTCCTGGTACTTGCTCTTCTCGTGGTGCAGCACCTTCTTGACCCGGAGAGTCATGGCCTGGCCTGGCGAGAGGTTAGCATCACGGTCTTTGGAAAGACAAGTGAGTCAGTCATTGTCTACTTACCAGGCCACATCTCCGAGATCTCGCGGAACCACCCATCTGTGAGTCCACAGCGTCTAGTTAGTAAGTCTTTCATCTACACCTCTTGAACGAGTAGATGGCAACGCGCAACAGTAAGACATGAAGCCGGTGTGCTTGGAGTTCATCATTAGATCATGCGGTCAATTGTCACGCGTCGACGCTGTTCGTATGAGGCAGAAAACACGGGACGCCGCTAAACAGGCTCGTTTTGTGAGCTGTTGGTGACACGGCGTCTCATGAAGTCGTCAGTCACCAAGAGCACAGCGCCCAATGGGTAAATGGACTCGCAGCACAGTTGAGCTTTAGGCATTTAGCAGCGCCGGGTGTGCCATAAGGCTGCGGGGTGAGGGCAGGCTGACGACAGTCCTGTAATCGATGGCGGGGTAGTTGATTTTATCGGTTGAGGCCTCGAGCCATGTGTGTGTGGATGGGGATGAGAGAGAGAAAGCAACAGAAACATACCCTGGATGGTAGGGTGCGCAATCTCGCCCATTTTTCGTATTTGGCTGAGACGGAGTTGTTTCAACCAAGTAGAGCAGATAAGTTGACGCGATTTGAAGAGACGTCGTGAGCAGAACAGAGCCAGCTTGAGTGAGTTGAGCCGGTGAAGTACAAGGCGGGGTCAAGTTTTCAATCAAAAGTCGGCTTTCGATTGTGCATGAAAATTTTCGGTCCAGCGGCCGCGCTCCGGCGACCCAGCTATGAGCGAATAAAAAAGTGGTGAACCCAAGAGTCGGGACCAATGATGCCCAAATGTGGAGAGCAGAGATGTGCCTGTTGGCAATGTCAGATAAGGTGCATAGTCCAGTTGACTGCCCGATCTCAGACCCGACCCTGACATGACATGCTCTACCGCTCTGCCAGTACCTGGACGGCACATGACTGACTCGGGTTCTCTATGGTATCTGAGGAGTTTATTGCACTAAGTTCGCTAGACACGAAACCACTCCGAGAAGTTTGTGTCTACCTTAGCTGCGCGTGGGCAGGCGTTCACTCGGAATGCACTGCATCAAGCCGTTGAGTCCGATGCAGTCGCCCGGGCCGCCAGTGCTCCGAAGGCCGGATGCCCAGCCCGGAATATTCGGCAGGCCGGGGCCGAGAGTGTCTTCAACGCCGAGCCAAGCGAGTGCCGATCATCTAGACCCTTCGATGACCAGACATCCTGCGGCATGGGTTGGTTCTTACGATTTCCCTGCCGCACGTCCAGATGCTTATTCCCTGACTGCAGAATGGTGTTGCTTTGTCGTCTTGCGCAGCGTACGTCTGAAGCGGCTCTGCAGGATATCGAACGCCTGAGGCCTCCTGCTACAGCATGCCTTTCCATCAGCCGGGTGACGGGGGTGGGGTGTCATTTTCGATGCTCAACGTGCTGTTGAACCCTCCATCAGTCTGCGGTGTTGATCAGTGCCCTTACGGGCAACTCTTAATACGGCAAGAGATCTGCCAGGTTAACTGGCGAGGAGAGAGCGAGAAGGAGAGCGGGAGTGAGGTCCGAGAGGTCTTATTCGTGAAATGCCAGCTCGGCGTTCTTGCTTTTCAATGATCCACCATTCTGGCAAAAGAAACCGCGTGGCGAGAAACCATGCAGTCAAATGTTTCGATCTTTGATCTTCAGCAACCAATCCCAACTGTCAGGACGGAGCGTGCAACCAACCCGGTTGGTTCGAGCAGCTCGCGTGGCATGGCAAGACAGGGCATGGCCGGCAGCAGCCACCGATACTGAACCTGGGTCCCGCCGAAGAGACCGTTCTGTGCTCCACCAAGGCCGCATTCCGAACTTTCTGGCAGAGTCCGCGATTGGCCGGTGTCAGGAAGACCCACCGTCTTCACCCTCGTCGGGGACATTTCCATAGTTACACAGGGGCTTGATAGAGTACACGAAATACGGAGGAGGCAGGAGCAGTTCGTCGCGCGAGTCTGCATCTTTACCGAGATCAGGAATGATGCACGCACAGACCCGGTGCTCGGTCGCAGAAAGCCACGAGGATCATAACGTTGGCCTATTTAGTACAGACACACACCTACATCTGGTGATTTGATTTCTACTGCGGAAGGTCAAGTCTCAACAACCGGGAAACACGGAACAAACTGACTGCAATATCTATGGCAGAACCTCGAAGGTCTGAACCAGGTATTCGAGGGGTTTGAAACGGAACTAGTGAGTCTTCCGTGAACCGGAACCCTGGTCGAGGGCTGGAACCACTGGTAGATCGACCACGGTCCACGTCCGCTGTTACCCGCGTGGACGGGAGAGCCCGATGGAGCCGCTCCCTGAAAGTGCTTTTACAGTATGTTTCTGCGGCCGAGTTGGACTTCGCATAGGGAAATCGGCTTGTCTCTGTGCCACGCGTGGGCGCCTTTGAGCCACGAACTGTGAGGCAACGCATTGTATGTCGATGATCTAAGGTAGCATTGCGTACAATACACGACTCGGATACCTCAACGGATGAAGTGCGGATCCGGGGAGTGAATTGCAAATGCAGACTTGAGACGGGCCCACCCTCTCTCCCAAGCTTGTGCCGCTGCAGGAGCTCAGGCAAGGGCCCCCGAGGAAGGGACGCCTGGCATGCGACATGGGTTTTGGTTTTGGCGTGCTGCAGAAGCAACCTGGAAATAATCAAAGACGGAGGGGGCTCTGTCGCACCTGTGCAATGCACTTCTGATTGAAACCCACTGTTGCCGAATTTCCATGCCCGTCTTTGTCGATTTCCTTTCCGGCCGTCGAATGCTCGGTGCCGACTTCAGAACTCATGCTCGACGCTGAAACTCACAAAAAAGCATTCTTTGATCTAAGCAGTCCGCCGCTCCATGCTTCGCTCCGGCCTCCGACCTGTTGATCCCCATCGACAACCGCCCCGGCAGCGCGACGGCGACTGGGACGAAGAGATACAGCATTGGACAAAGCAGCGAAGACGACACGTGGTGTTTTGATCTTTGGGACGACCTTGCACCGGCATCATTCAACTGGTCGTTGCTTTTTCACAACAGTATTGAGATCCATCGGCTTGTTGCCTGGGAGCTTTGTAAGTGTGGTCGGTGTTCGGCAAGCTAGGAGCTCCCTCGCCGCGCCGCCACCTCCCACTGGGGCTCCGCACCCAGCCTTGAACGACGTCAGCAGCCATTCGCCGGTTTTTTCTTCGACATTACAGCCTGGAGACCAACACACGGCGACCATTCTTCAGAAAGCGCCATCAACATGTGTTTTGGGGGCCGTGAAAAGGGCGACGACGTGGGCGCTGCTCGGTCTCGCGAGCTCGACAAGATGATCCGCGCGGACGAGAAGCGCATGTCCAAGGAGGTGAAGCTGTTACTTCTAGGTGCGCAGTAGAGTCTCTGGCGGCAATGGGTCAAACGGCTGACTTTTTGCGACACAAACAGGAGCCGGAGAGTCGGGAAAGTCGACAGTCCTCAAGCAAATGAAGCTCATCTATGCGCACGGATTCAGCAAGAACGAGAAGATGGAGTGGAAGCCCGTGGTGTTTACCAATATCATTCAATCTTTCCGGCTCATTTTCGATGCCATGAATGAGTTGGGAATCAAGTTCGAAAACCCGGACAACGAGGTAAGTCAACCGATACCTGCCAAGAAGTACCTGCAAGCCACTCAGCCCCCATACTGACTGGCTCCTCCAACAGAAAAGCATGGCACAGATCATGATCGACTACGAGATGACGGCGGATGAATCGTTACCACAGGAGTACTTGGAACCCGTCAGGCAGCTCTGGGTGGACGGGGGCGTCAGGAGGGCGATGGAGAAGGGCAACGAGTATGCTCTGCATGACAACCTGGACTAGTAAGTGCGGGTAGTGCATTGGGAATGGACCCTGCAGGATCTGACAGAACTTCAGCTTCTGCGATGACGTGGAACGTCTCTGGGACAGGAATTACGTACCGACAGACCAGGACCTCCTCCGGTCAAGGCTACGGACGACGGGTATCACCGAGACCATCTTCGACCTGGGCCAGCTCACATACCGCATGTTCGACGTCGGCGGTCAGCGCTCAGAGCGGAAGAAATGGATTCACTGCTTCGAGAACGTCAACTGTCTGCTCTTCCTCGTGGCCATCTCTGGGTACGACCAATGTTTGGTTGAGGATAAGGACGGGGTACGTTGGCTCGATTCTACTGGCTGTGGGAATGGGAATTCTGACTTGAGCTGGCACAGAACCAAATGAACGAAGCCCTGATGCTGTGGGAGTCGATCGCCAACTCGCACTGGTTCACCAAGTCGGCGCTCATCCTCTTCCTCAACAAGATGGATCTCTTCAAGGAGAAGCTCCCCAAGAGCCCAATAACAGACCACGGCTTCACCGACTACCACGGCCCGCCAGACGACTGGAAGCAGGCCAGCAAGTACTTTATGGACAAGTTCCGGGCGCTGAACCGGAACCCGGACAAGGAGATATACGGCCACTTCACCAATGCGACCGACACGAACCTGCTCAAGATCACGATGGGGTCTGTGCAGGACATGATCATTCAACGGAACCTGAAGCAGCTCATTCTGTAAGAGCCGATGTTTGCATGTGTCGACCTCTCTGTTGTTTTATATACACCACCCCCCGGGGTCCGACCCCCTTGTGTAATGCATCCTGTCTGGACTGCGCGTTGGGCGGAGGTTGCGATTCCGCAACCAGACCCTAACTTTCTCTATGTCCTCTTTAATATTTCCTCGCATGTCTTTTTATGATACCAAAAGCGTTATGTTACCTCGCTGATATCAGATTCCGTGGCCCGACCTAACACCGGTGACTGCTGTAGGGTCTGATGCGTCCCCACAACCTACCCCGCCGAAAGCCTGTTTCACTCGCCCTTCCGAGATGATCGTCTGGGGATTACCGCTTTCTGCACTCGTGCGCTGTGCTTGCTTTATACTAGTGGCTGGGCTTACCTTTTCACCTTTATCTGTTTTGATCGTGTTTATACTTCAAAATATTCTACGGCAAGGTACGGAGCTCCTGGGCGGCTTAGCATTATCTGGAAAATAAATCGCGACGAAACCGAGACGACGGTCGTTTCTCTTCCCCGACCCTTTCCAGGCGACAGGCATCCATTCTCGGATCGCATGCTCTGCTTTTCCTTCCGGCTCTGGGTCTGGGTTTTACAGCACCGCTTCTGAATCGTTAACCGTCCGCATCAGGTACGCGGAGTTGCTGCCTCAGTCAAAACGCCTGATCCTCTTGCTCGAGCCGTGGGCTGGATGAGAGCGGATGCATGCGTGGTGTGGCAATGGGAGGTCATGGCCACGAGCAGGAAAGGAAGGCTATCTCTTGCTGGGCATCTGGAGGGAAAAGAGTGATTGGTGGTGGGTACGAGAAAGGTGATAGGTTGATATGAGTTACAACCAGAGGGTCGCGCTATGGTTTTGAGCGCACACACCGGCTTGTGGGGATGTCAGGGGATCTTTATTTGTTCTAGGGGCCTACATTTGCATGAGAGATGACTGATGGGGCAGTAACTTGTTCGATTGGCTTGTTGATGAGCTGTTGTGCATTAGAAGCAGGTCAGGCAATGCATTTGCATGTGGTTTCAATTTTTTTCAAACACGGCTAGTTACTCGCTCGTTTTCTCATCAGTCTGGTCGACGTGGGCATGTGCGTCGGCAGTTGGAATCGTGGTTTTTTGCTCTGCGGGAAAAATTCCCGTGGAGTTGGATAGGGATCGGCAGGGACGCCACCACGACACCTCCTTGGGTAAGGTGGTAGGCAATCTGGTGGACCAGACCCCGGACGGCCGTAATGCTTGGGATGGGAGATGGGTTGAGCTTAGGTATGTAAGACGTATCGTAACCATCTCTTCTACTGTAAAGGTCGTTGAAGCCTAGGCAATTCACCTGGTTGCCATTGCCCTCTCTTGTATTTGCTGGGTGCTAGTGGCCGGTTTTGCATGTTTCGCCCGGGGGACGATTTGCCCGGCAGCGGCAGTGTTTTCCGAGATGGACGGCGCCGTTTCGGGGCCCCACACCCCTTTTTCTTTCCTTTTTGCGGCAGAGGGTAGATCGCCGGCTGCAAGCCAGGTCGAGAACGGAGAGGAGACGACGCCAGAATATGAAGGGCGGTGACTGGAGTTAGTACGTTACATGGAGTACTGTGTTCGATTCCGTCCCTACAGTACAAATTGCACTTATTCTGTATGAATGTGCTGTTAGGAACTGCAAGACTTCCAATTCTTTGACTCGGCGAGTCGCCTGCGGCCTGTCTGAGTCTTCGGCTGCCGCTCCCACGTGGAAGTTGCCGAAGAGGGACTTGCAACAACACAAATTTCCAGGGGGCGCATCAACCACGGTACGGATACCACAGGTGCGTAGGGAATCACGGAGAAACACACTGTGCCGGCTGTCTCTCGTTGAAACATGAGACATGGCTGACATGGCCTGCAGAAGGACATCGATCGGGGCGCCACGAGAGAAAGAACCGGATTCGGTTAATTACAGTAATACGGGTTGCTAAGTAGTCCGTACATACCTTACATTACGATAAGCCTCATGAGATGGTTAGCTCACCACAGCAACGGCTTGAGACTGTGCACGGTTCACTTCGGACTCCAACGGACTGCAAAGTAAACACCGCCCCGAGGTGTTGGCGCATCAGCTGGTATTGGTTCGCCCAATGCTGCCTGCAAACCAGCACATCGTACATACATATTTGTTTCCGACCTTGAGAGGGCAGAGCCCCATGTGCGGCTGATGTCTCGATAGCTTCTCAACTCTCCAACATATCATCTCCTTGCTCGGTTCCCCTTTTCGACAGACTGTGAATTTGACCTCCTAAGTACATAATTAAGAAATTGATCACCAAGCGGCCATCAACAGACCCTGAGACCAGAAGCGCTTGATATTCACATCAAACCAAAACTACTAATATCGTATCATATACCCTCCCTCCATCCACAATGTCAAGCCACCCCGCCGCGAAGTCCCTCATCGACGGTAATCCCGCCAGCACCGGCAGCACACCCCCCAATGGCACCCCGCCCGTCAACAAGACCAGTTGACAATCAAGGCTGACGCAGCGCTTCCCCTTCCTCGGCACAAAGCGCGGCATCGCCGTCCTGGTCGCCGCCATCCTCTTGGTCGTCGGCGGCGGTCTATCGGGCCTGGCTGCGCTGCGCACCCGAAATGGAGGCGGAAGCGGGTCTGCATCGGCTACTGGTGGCGAAGAAGGGAATGATGTGGAGGAGATCACGGATGATGCGTTCTTCTATGGGATGTCGCCTGCTGTTTACCCTTCGCGTGAGTTATCTCTGACTTGTGTTGATGGATTGTGTTGATGGATGCCTTTGTTGTGTGCGGTAGGAGAGGGAAAACGGTGGCTGATTGATTGGGGGACTTCTAGCAATCATGACTGGACAAGGGGAGTGGGCTGAGGCCTTCCGGAAGGCGAGGGAGGTGGTGGGGAGGATGACGCTCGAGGAAAAGGTACGTTGAGGTCATATACCCCGGGTTGGTTGTTGTGGCAGGCTGACGAGGACTAGGTCAGCTTGACCGCCGGCGTGAGCTCCAACACCAGCTGCCCTGGCTTTCTGCCCGGTATCCCGCGGCTCGGGTTTCCTGGCATGTGCCTGGCTGATGCAGGCCAAGGGCTCCGAGGGACAGACTTTGTCAGCACCTGGCCGAGCGGGATCCATGTCGGCGCCAGCTGGAACAAGGCACTTGCTCGTCAGCGGGGAGCGGGAATGGCAGGGGAGTTCAAAACCAAGGGAGTGAATGTGCTGCTTGGCCCGGCCATTGGGCCCGCTGGTCGCGTCGTGTTGGGTGGGAGGAACTGGGAAGGTATGGTGCCGTTCCACGGCATCTGGCATCGCCACGTGTTGCTGACAAGAACAGGCTTCTCAAGTGACCCCTACTTGTCGGGCGCTTTGGTGTACGAGACAGTCACGGCGATACAAGCTGCTGGCGTCATTACCAGCACCAAGGTGCGCACTTCCTACTTGGATATAGAGATCCCGGAGCTCGCTGACCCTCTGCAGCACTACATCGCCAACGAACAAGAGACACATCGGAACCCTTCGGGCGAGATACAATCCGTGTCGTCAAACGTGGATGACAGGACCATGCATGAGTTCTACTTGTGGTAAGACGGACGGTCCGATTCTGCTCTTTCCCCCTATCTAATATCCCAGGCCCTTTCAAGATGCCGTTCACGCTGGCACTGGCAACATCATGTGCTCGTACCAGCGACTCAACAACTCGTACGGCTGCGCGAACAGCAAGTCGCTCAACGGCCTTCTCAAGAACGAGCTGGGCTTTCAGGGCTGGGTTGTCAGCGACTGGGGCGCGCTCCACGCAGGGGCTGCCGCGGCTCTGGCGGGCTTGGATGTGGCCATGCCTAGTGGCGCTGGTCTCTGGGGATCCCACCTGGTGGATGCTGTCAACAATGGCTCGCTTCCCGAGAGTCGGATGGACGACATGGTGATCAGGTAGGGTGCCCCCTTGACTCTCCCATGAATCCCCCTACTGACAGCGACAGGACTCTCGCGTCATGGTACAAGGTAGGCCAGGACCAAGACTTTCCCCAGCCCGGCGTAGGCATGGCCGCAGACCTAACTAGACCGCACCCCATCGTCAACGGGCGAAACTCGTCGTTCCGTTCCACCCTCCTCGACGGTGCCATCGAAGGCCACGTCCTCGTCAAGAACGAGCGCAACGCCCTCCCGCTCAAGACCCCCAGACTGCTCTCCCTCTTCGGCTATTCGGCCAAGAACCCGGACCGCAACAACCCGACCGCCGGCCTCTCCCCCTGGCTCTGGGGGAGCGAATCGTCCAACTTTTCCGAGTTCACCGACGTCTTCTACGGCTTCTCCCCCAACAACTGGAGCCCCAACCGCACCGCCGTCGCCATCAACGGCACAATCTACTCGGGCGGCGGCTCCGGCGCCACCTCCCAGTCCACCGTGCTGTCACCCTTTGACGTGCTGCTCCACCAGGCCGCCGACGACGGCACGGCGCTGTTTTGGGATTTTGTCTCGGCCGCGCCCGCTGTCCATCCCATGTCCGACGCCTGCATCGTGTTTGGCAACGCCTTCGCGGCCGAGGGCGCCGACCGCCCCGCGCTGAGCGACGAGTATACCGACGCGCTAATCCGGCACGTCGCGGACCGGTGCGGTAGCACCGTGGTCGTGCTGCACAACGCGGGCGTGAGGCTGGTCGAGGGGTTTGTCGAACACCCGAATGTGACGGCGGTCATTTTCGCGCACCTGCCCGGCGAGATGTCGGGCCGGGCCACGGTCGAGGTGCTGTATGGACGGGTGAGCCCGTCGGGAAAATTGCCGTATACCGTGGCCAGGAATGCGAGTGACTATGCGGTGCTCGGGCCGGATCGGGTGGAGGAGCAGGAGGGGAGGTTCAGGAGGTTTCCGCAGAGCGACTTTGACGAGGGCGTTTTTCTTGATTATCGGCATTTTGATAAGGAGGGGATCGAGCCGAGGTATGAGTTTGGGTTTGGGCTGAGTTATGCCGAGTTTGGGTATGCGAACTTGGTGGTGAGCAAGGCCGCCGACGGGCGCTTTGATGAGTATCCCGTCGGGGAGGTGGCGCAGGGCGGGCAGGAGGATTTATGGGATGTCCTGGTCGAGGTCGCTGCTGATGTGACGAATACGGGCGGCGTGGATGGCGCCGAGGTTGCGCAGCTGTATGTGGGCATCCCGGCCCAGGGCGCCCCGGTGCGGCAGCTTAGGGGGTTCGAGAAGCCCTTTTTGAATGCCTCGGCCACGGCAACGGTCAGGTTTGGGCTAACGAGGCGAGATCTGAGCGTGTGGGATGTTGTGGCGCAGAAATGGCGCTTGGTGAGGGGCGAGTATACGGTTGAGGTGGGAGGGAGCAGCAGGAATCTGCCCCTGGTTGGGAAGGTTACAATTTGATGAATGTAGCGCTGCGGTTTGGAGTTGGATGTTCGTTCATTTGCTTGTGTTTTAGGATATGACTGATCTGGATGTGTATGGATTATGAAGCATACATTGTATAGTTGGTAATCACGTCGAAGGGAGAGAGCATTGAGAAGAGGAGATGCCCACAGTCCATCGTACCAGCGTCTCAATTCCCCACTCCGGTCACACCTCTCCGCTTCTTCTTGCAGCTCTGCTGTGCAATCAGCTTCTTGAACGTCTGCACCATGCCGTCGTAAGCCGGATGCTTTGAAAAGTCCTCAAACCACAGCAGTGACGCTCCCTGGCCCTCGAATACGTGCGGCACCCAGCTGAACGGATCGTAAAAGTCCCAGATCGTAATCCCGACGCAAGCCTTCACCTTGACACAGGCTGTCACGACTTTCTGGTAGCCCTCCTTCTGCCACTCCAGTTTGGTATCGTTGACAGGCATCTTGATCCTGACGTCCAGCTCGGTAAACGCCACCTCCTTGACCAGCTCGGCATACCCCTTGCTTGTCTGGATCAAGTCCTCCGCGGACGGGTGATTATCCGCATGCAGATGCGCCTGCATGCCCACACCATCGATCCTGACCCCGGCGTCCTTGAGCATCTTTACCAACCGCTTGGCGCCCGCCGTCTTGTTCGAGTTGGGCCGCTCGATACCATAGTCGTTGTAGTACAGCTTGGCGGCCGGGTCGACCTCGGCCGCCACCCGGAAGGCCAGCTTGATGTAATCCTCGCCGAGCACATTGTAGAAGATGCTCTTGCGGTACGTGCCGTCCTCGTCGAGCGCCTCGTTGACCACGTCCCACGCGTAACAGCGCCCGCGGTAGTAGCCCGCCACGGCGCGGATGTGCCGCGTGATGGCGCTCGTCAGCGCCTCGGCTGTCCAGTTGGTGGATTCCACCCACGGCGCCAGCTGGCTGTGCCAAACCAGCGCGTGGCACCGGAGGAGTTTGCCCGTCTCCTGGGCCAGGTCGGCGACGTAGTCGCCTTCGGTGAAGTTGAAGAGGCGGGGTTCAGGCTCGATGAAGAGCCATTTCTGGCCGTTGGTGGGCGTGGTCTGGCCGAATTCGTTGGGATCCCGCAGGATGGCGTCGTATTGCGGGTAGGACTCCGGGTAAGGGGCGCGCTCGCGCTGGTAGGGGGTGTCGGTGGCGGCGCCGAAGTAGAGGAGGCCGGCTTGCTTTGCGAGTTGGTGGAGCTGGCCCGTGGCTGGGGATAGCAGGGCTGCTGTCAGGAGGGGATTGGAGAGTCTCATGGTGGGCGTCGGTGTGAGACCGCAGTGATGTAGGGCGAGTGGTGTGATACTGATGGTGGGAGACCGTTTTATGATATCCCCCCCCGCCAACGCCACGGGCGCAGAACAAGAGTACCATCATCCTCCTATACTACCTTAGATGCCATGCACATCACCATTTCGTTCTGAAGAGGCAGAAAGGAATCAGGGCCAAGAAACCGCCTGGGAGTCGTCGTCTTCAGCCGAACCAGTCAACCGGAAGGCCAAGGCCGTTGACCCCGCGCCGTTCGGGGCGATGTCCGGGTAAATCAGGGGGGCCGGCTATTCTGTGCATGTGCGTATGGCTAACGGAATTGAAGATGTTTGCGTCACATGGAGAGAGTGTACCTGCATTGCACTATGTTAGTCTTCATGTGATGGCTCCTTTCTCCGCGTCGCCTGCGAGTCAGCGAATTTGACTGCCTTCTCCATCAGAACAGCAAACCCCACCTGTTGTTATTCCCAGCTTGATGTGTTGTTTCCGGTCTCAAGCATGGGAATCTTGTTCTCCAGCTGGTCAAGGTTCTGGGATCGAGTCCAGTCAGTCTCCACTCCGCTGCGGCAATCAGTGCCCCGCCTCAGGAGCCGAGAAGTGAGCATGTGCTTACCCTAAATTAGAAGTCGGCCTTTCTTACATCCTCAATCAAGCGGGTTTAGCTCAGTTGGGAGAGCGTCAGACTGAAGTCAAACTTCAGGAAATCAATCTGAAGGTCGTGTGTTCGATCCACACAAACCGCAAACATGAGAAGCTTCGATATCTTAAGCTTTTGTTGTCTGATTTTTTGGTGTTTGGCCGTCTTGGTGTCTTGGGCGAGCGCGACCAATGTCGAAAACTTTTTGACATGGAAAGTGTGTGCTGACCCTAAACCTGCCCCTGACCCTTTTGCCCGCGCAAGAATGCATCTCAGCAGGAATTGTTTCATTGAGGGAAACGGTCAGTGAGGCCAAAACGATGATGTGTATCATGAGTCAATCTCACTGCTGCAACCGAGATTGCAGACCTTACCGGAGCGGTCGGGTGTGCAAGGTATGATCGCAGCTGACAGCATCAAAGAGCCTCTCTTTACTGAGCTTCGTCAGGGACCAGCAAAGACCAAAGCTCGGAGCTGTTTTCTCTGGCTCTCACTCAGGAAACGCAAATGAGAAAAATAGTTGTTCCATTGGCAAAAGAAGGAAGTGTTGAACCTGTCTTTGGTGCAAAAGGTTTATTAGTAAATTGTCTCGATCCCACTGGGATTCGAACCCAGAATCTTTGCCAGCTGGTAAACACAACCGGAAAGCAACGCCTTACCATTAGGCCATAGGACCAATGAAATGACTCGTTGAGTTTTGTAACCTCAAATGCACTTATATGGGTACATTTTTTTCACTATATTTTTTTCACTAACTTATATTTTTTTCACTAAGTTATATTTTTTTCACTAACGTTATATTTTTCTTCATTCTCTACTTTTTCTCTCTGTCTCTCTGTCTCTCTGTCTCTCTGTCTCTCTGTCTCTCTG